ATAGTATCTTCTCCTGAGCAGGAGAGTGCATCATAGGATGCTATGAGCCGTTGAGACTAATCAATTAATGAAACACTGAAAGCAAAGCCAAAAGTATTATCGTATGAGGTCTCTTTCACGACATACAAATATTATCTCAAAACAGTTACCCTCAAGCTCGATACAATGGCCATTTATCACAGCAGTAGCCATGAATCAAGTCACGCAGTAAAATCGATCATTGATTCACCTTATTCCCTTGTTTTTCCATCTGAGCCACATAATGATCATTAAACTGACCACAGCATGTCCAAAAAATGGATTTATAATACTCTGAGCACAGCTTGAAACATCACAAGAGTGGTATCCTGAGGAAAAGTTGACACAGATACAGAATAGAAAAAATAATATTAATTTGCAGTTTCTAATGGCTATGCAACTTCTTCCTGCAACTTTACGTGCGGCACACTTGTGCTGTGGAACTATCTACTATAGGACCAAGACCTCTTGGCCAGAGTCCATCTCTACGCTTTGTGCACGTGATCCCAGCCTAGATGAGCATGCTTTAATGGGGCTGCTTAGCCCCATCATGACCCAATGAGTGCCGGCTGTGGAGTGGATGTGCTTGGTGTATGTGTGTGTGTTCCCAGCAGGGAGACAGTGCCTTATGAAGGTCAAAACTGCAGTAGTCTGGGGCTCTCTAAGTGAACCCTGGAGAGGATAACAAGCCACATCTAACACTTTCTCTTTGTGCTCTCACAGCCACTGATTCACCTGAGAATAGTAGAAGCTAAAAGATAACACACAGAAAAGCAAAATTCTCGGGACTCGGGATGCTAAGAAAAACATTTTCAATTACTACGCAGAATTATTGTCTCAACCCAGGAATAAAACGTATCAGTCTTGACCCAAAATGAGAAAAGCTGTGTTTTGCAAAACAATTCCTGTGTAGACTGTATATAAAAATTAAATAAATAACAAATACCGTTCGCCTCAAGGGAATTTCAGTTTAACCACAGCGTGTGACAGTATTGCCCTGTGTTATGGCCACCTAATGGACAATGTAGCATTAATTCAGCTTCAGATGAACAGGCAGGACAGCAGAATCAAAAATGAGGAGGGGGGCCCTAGGTGTATGAATTATGCATATTACATTACCATAACACTACAATACACCGTGCGACAAAACAATGTGGTGAAAATTGGGCTTCGACTGAGATATTGAACAATTTCCTACATGGTTCTTGCCTACCTTCGAAGTGGAATTGTATTAAGCTTCCTCAATAACAGCAAAACCCATATGAGATTTGTATGTTCACATCTAGGCCAGTGAACAAAACACTCTGTAAACAAGTCAGGGATAATTGAAAAGAAAGTCTCCTGACTGCTTTCCCTGGGACCTATCATTCAGGTAGATGGGAATTTGGTTAAATGGCAGGAGAGAAATTACTTCTTTCATTGATTTTCCTTTAGACTTCAAAGACAGATAAATGAAATGGAGCAATTTATTTTATCAGGCCCTGAAATGGTATTCAAGAAAAACATGTCAGAAACTATTATTTGCAATCATGTTGCTCTTATTAATCCTGAGGAAAAATGGATAACTGAAAACGCACAAAGGGATTTACTGGGCTACAACACGTTTTCAGTCTGTATTAGGCCGTAAACAGTGTTGAGAAACACGTGCAGTCACGCAGAGTAAATGAAGGGAAAAAATTTTTAAACAAAGTTCTTACATAAACATCACAGGAGAATTGGTTTCTGAGATCATTGTAAGTGGAAAAAATTATTTAAGTGGCATGCCACTGAGATTAAGATTTTGTGTTTGGAAGACATCCCACTACACACCCAACGCTAAGCATTTTAAACCATGTTTAAGTTTTTTATCAATGTCATTTAATTACAGTGTAGTCCTTAAAAACAAACAAACAAAAAAAACTACAAGTCCGATAATATAACGCTGAGCCTCCATCACTGATTTGTAGATGAACCCTGTAAAGGAGACAGCCTTAAGCTGTACCACACACTTGCAGTGTGCTGTGTAAAACAGTATGTGGTATTGGTAACTGCTTCTGTTCAAGCCTTGTAATCATTACCTGGCATCTTATTGCCTCTGTGGCTTTTAAAGCTCTTGTCTCACGCCCAGAAAACAGGGAGTTATAGCTGATCTTTTATTAAAACTTTAGGAGAGCGTCCCTCTCTGGAGGGGGGCGGAGGAGGAGTGGGACAAATTAGTGTTGACAGTAGACACTTAAAGCAGGAAAATCACGGGCCCACTGGGAGGCAGGAGCCACATGGGGCTCCCCGCCTGTGTAAAGAACACTCCAGATTTCACTTGAGATGCAGTCGCCTTTTAACAGGGCAGGGGGAATGTCAACAGACTCTCTTGAATGAACCAATAAAGCCACTAAAAGGAGAGGATTAACCAGCTGATATCAGGGACAGCGGTTTGTTTTGAATGCCGCTCCTTCTCTGTGGAGCATGGCCTGAAACACACTGGGCGGAACATTTCCTTTGCCAAGCATGCGATTACACTGCCAAAATTGTGTAGTTAATTGTGCTAATACTTGATTGTGGTCACGCCAGATTTAACCACGTAATTTTACTGACATTACCGCTGCTTATTCGGAGCATAAAAATATAACTTTGCATTCATTTGTACGTGACACAAACTAAATTTCTTCTTTTTTCTTGACCTTAATTTTTGATACAAAAAGCACTCATTTCCAGATCAAATCCTTTGCATTATAGACACTCTATTGTTGCTTTTACTGCCCATTCATCAGAAAGCACGGCTTCTGGTAAGTGTGGCTACACAACATGAAACAGTAATTACAAGACATCAGGGGCTTTCAATCTCCTCTTAATTTCCCAACAGCTGTGACGAAAAGCCCTTAGTCCAATTAATGTGTCAAAATATCACCAAACAATGTCATGACCCTCTCACAACCCCCTAAGCATCAAATAAAGGAAAAAAAAACACGAGTTAAATTTGATTTGTTCGAACTACAGTGACAGCTTTTTCATTTTTGTAAAACGAGTCAAGGTTGCTGCTGCTTTTGGTGACGTGTAACAGCTGCAGGTCACTAAGGCAGGTATGGGAGGGTTTAGACACATTTAATTTCAAAATATCTTGGCGAGTAAAATGTTTTAATGTCAGGGCCTGTTCAGGCTAAGAGAGTAACAGGTTGGGCCTTTGTGAAATTTGTTTAGACAAAACTTCATTTGCAGTTAAACTGTTTATTTAATTAAAATGTAAAAGCAAAAGTTGTTACCTAATATTGTGTCTTCTTTTTAAGTAAATGTAATTATTTAAATGATTTGTGATATTATTATTATAGATTTTTCAAATTAAATTAATTCACTCTGAATTAATTCACAGTTTCTAAACTACAGAAGTCTGTAATGCACAAGCACTTGTCAACACACAATCTTGTGTCTGTTCTTCTATGCGTTATGTGGCAATGTTTGCATGTTGATTACTATCTAATGAAAAAAATGTTGAGGAAATGTTTTTTTACTCTGCAGATGATGTAAAGTATCAAAGTATCAGTGCCTGTTAAGGTCTCGAAGGTCACAATGGCCCAACATAAAGTGCCTTTTTTTTTGTCAACGTAAAATCTACAATTTGAGTTATGGAAAAATGTGGGCTAAATTACGATTATTATTTCTGAGCACTGATACTGGAGACTTTCTTCCTAATGTCAAGCCAGGCACAGTAAGATGAATTTAGGCATTTGCAATGTGCAACTGATTTATTATGGAGAAGGTGAGGGTAAAACATTGAGGGATTTCCCTTTAATCAGATCTCTTAGGAGTCTATGTACTAGACCAATACCCCAATGAGTTTGCTTTTAAAAAGCTCCGAATAGATTGGTTGCATGCTGCCACAGTCTTAGCCTCAATCAGAGGGAGTTGAGGAGGATTTTGTTAAATCTAAGAGCCTTTTACATCTCTGGAAAGTTCATTTCTCTTCATCTATTAACTCTGAATAAAAACCTACCATCATTTATGCATTTGTCCATTTAGGAATCCTCAAGCTCGTGAGCTGCAGATCTGAGGCCAAATTTTGAGCTTACGGATGACCAATCAAAGAGTTGCATGCCTCAGAGCTGAACCACAAATGGATCCTTCACAGCATTGTAAATCAGGACCTCAAAGAGTATTATTTAGCCTCAAGCAAAGAGTGGTGGTTTATCAGATGGTGCCTGAGTCTAGGATAAAAACCTCCCCATAAATCTGGGTACCTTTTATGTGCTCATGGAGACTGGCTGGCTCATTCTGAGTTTAAAGCTTTCAAGAATGCAGAGGTAAGCATGGCATTCATGTCAAAGAGTAAACATTGTATTACGAGGTCCTGAGGGCAAGTTTACGAGATGTTCAAACATAATCTAATCGTCTTAATGTATTTTTAATGACACCTGTATCCCAGTGTAGCTTTGCTGTAACAAACAAAAAAGAAACCACAAATCAGTGACAAATCCTAACACTTAAAGGGTGAATTCAAGGTGAATCTTCAGTCTGACTAAAACCTTTGCATTCATGATTTAGTGTATGGAGTCAATATACAGGTTCAATAAGCACTGTCAGTAGGTGCTACACTATATCCAACTCTGTGCTAGATGTAAGTTATCACGATTGCGGCGCCCCGGAAGGTAATTTTCAGAACATTTTATTTCGTTATCTGATTTATTGAAGCTCAGACATGGCATTGCCAAGCCCCAGATGATAAATCAAACGTGCAGCGGCTGCCTCTGATAACTCAATAAGCACCTGGACTCCTCCTAACATGTCACACCTGCACTTCTACATATACCAGTTTCATTCTCGAGCCTCACTGGGGGGGCTTAATACACCTGCCTAGTGCATTTCAGCAGTCTAGCAGCTGGGAGAGAAACATCATGCATGCTTAATTAGGAGGATCGAGGAACCATGGGAGGAGGCAATTTTTTTATGCATCTTATATATACTCTTAACAATTTGAAGTGCAATGGGGAGCATTTTGCTGGAATGACACTCACCCTCCCTTGTTGAGAAAAGAGGCACTGCAAATCAATAGAAAGTTGTTTTCATGGATCGTCTTTGTCCTGGGATGAATGATTTCTATCTTGATTGGAGTGGTATCATCCAAGATGACAATGCTCCTATACACAGGACATAGGGGGTTACCAAATGATTTAAGAACAATGAGAATAAAATTTTGGGGCTGTTGTGATCTCTGTCCAACTGATCACCTGTAGAGGACCAGCGTGTTAGGCATTGCACCTCACCACATAATGGAATAACAGTTGGACTATTCATGTTTCTTCCCACAAGCAAAGCTCAAACGACTTGTAGCATCAATGCTATGGCACAATGAAAGTGCTCTGGTAACACATTTGCCTACAAACTTAAAACAATGTTTTTTCCTTATTTTTTGTCCTTTTGTATGTAGTATTCCTCTCTCAATCGCCACCTTTTCCACTATTATTTTAAACAACCATGAAGGATTTAAAGCATATTCATATTTTGTGTATTCAATTTTATTCACACTGCAGAGTATTAAAAAGACTTAATTTAATGAGCACATTTGAGCATATTTAAAAAGAGAATACCAAGGGGAGACTTTGTTGATCGATACTATTGCATATTTTCTGGCCAATCAATTTGGTGCCTGCTTAGGAGCCATTACCAAGAGTAATGAATAGGGGGTATTTATTAAATTTCATGGAGACTTTTCCAATGTCATATATGGGAAAAAGCCTGCTCAATGGATAGATTGTTCACTCTTTGAGTGTCAACAAGCCAAAATTGACTTTCAAATCCTCCAGCTGAATAATACGAACTATAAGAATTGTTTTTATTTCCTGTAGTTTATATAGTGCTGTTTTTGAAGCACTTATTCCAATAAAATTTAAGAATTCACAGCCATATTTGTGCTGATCTGCACAGAGTTGATAAGTTAGAAAAGGTGAAAATAGAGGAGATTCAGTATACAAAGGTTGTTTATCTGTTCTGAATTCAAGATACGAACATATCCTTGAGCTGAGATTTTATGCCCTGTGGAATATCACTTGCTGTAGTTGTGTCTGTGGCAACATGCACAGAGGTAGTAATATCTAAGAAGCCATTTCAGACAGGTGAAATTTCCAAATGAATTTTTAGTGTTTTACAAGGACAATCTTCTGCTTTAAGAGTACTGCTGTTGCAGAATGACTCTTATCAACACTTCACAATCTATGTGTTTATCGCAGACTTACAATCATACACCCAAATCTGATGTGGGCTCCAGCATTGCTACAAATGCTACAAACCCTATAAGGGACTGAGGAGGGAAGATGCAGTATGATAACTCAGAATGTCCTGCTGTAATTATGGTATTCATGAAAAGATGAAAGTGAGTGCAGACTAAATCTCTAGCTGCAGGCAAAATCAACAGCTTGGCATTACTCCGTGACCCCTGCCTATCTTGAGGATACAGCAAACATACCAAAACTTTGCAGCTTTTTTTCATCAGTCAAGAGTGAGGGAATGAAGTGCATCGATTGCTTGTGATTATTAACTAGACTGAGATAAGCCCTCTCCTTATTATGCAGATTACTGAGGCTCCCCGCTCCAGCATATTGTACAGATGCAAGGGAGCAGCTGCTCTTACAGATGGTGGGTACACGGATCTATCATTATGCCTCCATTGTCTCCACTTCAATTGTTTGGGGGACAACAGAACTGCATCAAAGAGGAATCCGACTGCAATGAATTAAGAAAGAGAAACGAAAACCATCAAGTAAATTTATACACCCGAGGCCGTGGAATGGAGAGGAGCGTAAAGCTGAAGCTATTTCATATATACAACCATGGAGTCACCCAGTCATGTATACTGTACCCAAATCTGTTGGATGCAGCACTGTGCACCAAACATATGTTGTTTTTAGCAACAAACAGACATTCATTTAGGAGTCAGATATTAATTCAAATATGAAAAAAAACTACGGCTAAGCAAATAAAAAAAATCATTGAACTTAAATGTTCAGAAATTGAAACAAAAAATATGTAAACCCCCTCTTTGGATTAATTTCAAGTAACTACTCAAATAAAAAAAATTTTTTAAAAATCAGATTATGCACTTTCATTTAGCACACAAGCAATAACTGATCCCAGTTATTTTTAGATCTATGAACTCACCCCACAAAGGCCACCGCAGTGAAGGGAGAATATGCAGACAACATCAGTTTTGCCCTTAAGGGGAACCTCTGGTTGTCCATTTGACTCTCCACACCTCCTGCTGTGTGCTGCTCAGATCAGGACACTGGTACCTCCTCTGATCCAACATGACATTACACTGGAGGGAATTACATGCTCAGATTATACAGGAGAAGGTCACACCGAGTTGTAGATGATGACAGCAGTCACACTATTTTGCAGTTAGCGACGGGTAATATTACTTTAAACATTAATGCAGTGACATTAACCCTGGCACAAAACAGGGTTCCAAATCTTGTCAAGGAGGCTGGTAATTTAAGGTTGGATAAAAATGTCCCTGACATATAAAGAATTTACACCCTTAAGCGTAAGTAATTACAACCTTTTCCCTTACACATCCAGCAACCACAATGGGTGACAAAGATAAAGCGTAGGATAATGCAGGCTCATAGTGAATGTCCAACACAACAGGAGCATATGAATGAAAAGCTATTTCAAACTAAGAAGTACAATAGGTATACTAAAATCAATAGATTGAGCTAATCATGGTGCTTTTGATTTTTGAATATGGATTGGTTGAAGAAGAAGGTAACTGAATAACTGATATATTAAAGCGATAAATGTTGTACTGAATAGTCCACTCTTTCAACTAGAGTATAACATAGCATTATACATAATTTTCTGCCAGTACATTATCTATTTTTTAAACTGAAGTTTATGGGAGTTTCTACAAAATTTTAAAATCCCATGCATAATAAATGCATAAAAATATAAGTAAAAATAAATAAATAACACAGAAAGTGATTTCATTGTAAAGCAGTACATTGAAACTGATTTTAACAGATTGCTATTTATTTTCACTGTAGCAGACTTACAAGAGAAAACAATAAAATCCATATGATTACTGTATTTCTTCTTTGTTGGTTGTCATTTAATTCCAATATTAAGCTTCGATCTTTGATCTTTATTGGTTTTGATTCCATAATTCTCATAACAGCTGCTATTGAATACAAAGACAGGCTTAAACTATAAGCACAAAATTCCCGCTACCATCCATACATTACAGTAATATGCAGTTTAATTCCCATAAGATAGAGATAACGTACTCCTCCTTATGGGAATTAATTATTTGCTTCAGATAGAAAATCAATTCCTTAGCAGAATATATTAAATTTTCAATATCCCAGAGAAGCTGCTCTCAGTATCATTTAATAAATTCCACCTTAGCAACTTACTGCCTGTTTATTCAATATTAAAGCAGAATTCATCCTTCTAACAGTAAAATTCATGCAAATATAATATGTGTGTGAGTAAAAACACAGTGTATAGGAAAATATGCAGATATATCCCAGGAGGTCAAAAAGCTAACATTAATTCCTTAACTTGAATCTGCTATATTCCAATAAATAACAGTTTTCCTTTCTTGGGTCATGTGTCATGGGTGGATTGAGCTCCTGTCAGAGCACAAAGCTCCCCACACAAGTCCACGCTGCCTCGTCTGTTGTTAGGACCCGGTCCACATGGGGCCAAATTTGATTGGAAAGCCCAGAGGGAGGAGTTCCACCAGTCACAGGGGCATTGTTAGCGCCTCCAAAATGGCCAGAGAAGAATGACTGATTATGCAACCACAGCCAGGGTTACTAATAGGAATTCTATTTGAATTTCTAACATAACAGATGTTTGCTGGGCACCTCCATGGAGTGTGCATACACAGTTATGCTAATTCACCAGTGTTTCCCTTCAAGTTAGCTCAGAGTCATTAGAGCACACAGCTAGCTTGGATCCTTCTGTCAAAAATAATAATTGGCCATTATTGATATTAATTAACATTTTTGCTCTCTATGTCCTTTTTGACCCACTATCTGTTAGTAAATCCAGTTACCGAGCCCTATTAGGGCAACAAAATCCACGGGACTCTATAGTCGGTGTGAGTTATTTATCAGAAACAGAACATAAAGCCAATTAGGAATGGGTGCAGACAGTTGTCTTCATTCTCCACTGACTACTTCTTGATCTCCATTATAAACTGCTAATAGAGCAGATACTGGTTAACAAAAGGGGGGAGAAGGGTAGGTTACCATTTCTCACTCCCACCCCAATGACAGGTGAAAAGCACCAATTACAGTATTTTTGCTTGATGAGGCTACGCCATCAGCTGTTTTCTTTCCTTTTTTTTTCCTGTAGTTGAGGGGCACATGGTGCACCTTTCTCTGTTCTGCTGGTCAGCAGGGTTAATCGGCCCAAAACGTGAATATTACTGCAGGCCATTAAAGTGTTGATGGTTTGTCCTCCAAAAGTCATAGCTTTTGGTCTCTGTGCTATTATGACACAACGAGCAGGAGAAACGCTTTATAGGCTCAGATCAAGAAATCCTAATAGGTGTATATTGACTGGTTTATTTTCCACAAAGGGGTTGGTGGCTGCAAGAAAATATATCAAAAAGGCTATCAACAATGGTTGGGTCTTTTGTGTGGAATCAATAGTGAGCCATAGACGAGCTGAGTTTTCACAGTTCTCTCTCGTCATTTAAAAAGACTGTAGACTACATGATGGAAGGACTCACACGACTTTTTTTAACATAGTATTCACACTAGACAGCAGGTTATTGTTACTCTAACGTGATGCTTGGGAACTATTCGTTTAGTATTGTACAACAAAAGGACTTAGTAGCATGAAAGATCATTAGTTGGTGTTGATGCAGGTAGTGTAACATAACCTATGTGAATTAAAACTAATGTTCCTGCTCCCTGAATCCAGATGCTGCCATAGTAGCTGCAGGTTTATGACAAGAGGTATTGCAGTCCCTTAAATGAGCAGTATTTAATAGCCTGGATTCAAGTGTAAAGGCTTTCTCCCTAGTGCATTACTCCGAGAACCTAATTACAAGTTTCATCATCAATCATGAGCATTATTTATTCAGTGAAATGAATTTCTAATTAATAACTGATGAGCATTATGGCCTCAA